CACCGGAATTGTTTCAAATTTGGTATTTGAAGTTCGTGATCGATACTACAACCTAAGACAGAAAATTGTCTGTGTAGGTCCACGTTTTGGTATAGCCCCCATGTAATGGTACCTCCCTATATTCGGTATTTTGATGATTTGATGAATATTCACCGAATTTTTTTTTTCAAGTTTCGCATTTGAATATTGTAATGGCTTATGACAAACGTTGCCTATGCAGGTTCATGTCGTCGTGTAGTGCCTAATATAATGGCTACATTCGGTGTTTTAAAGATTTTGACAAAATTTTTTAACGGATTTTATTTTTTTGAAAATTGCCAAATTCGTTCCAAATGGTGGAGAGTATACAAAGTTCGGCCCGGCCGTACTTACAGCATTTGTACTTGTTTGTATTTCTTTTGGCTTCTCTATTTCAAAATTGTGACTGATGTCATTCCATTGTTTTAAAAGATGGACATCGTTAAACTTCTAGTCCAAGACGGTCCAATTATTACAATTAAAGCAAAAATCGACAAGACCTACTCTTAAACTGTGAGATAAATATCTTGAGAGAGACCTATTTTTTCGTTATGCACAATATATACAATTTATTTATTGTCAAAGCAGAATTTCGCCGCAATGTCAAGACGAATTGTATATTGTTTCGCCACAATAATAAAGGTGGTAGAGTTGTATTTTTTGGAAAGTCGCCTTCTGGTCGACCTTATAATTGGGCCATGTTTACAACCAATGGCACGATTAAAGAGGTAATCTCATTTGTAAGATTGTATATTTTTCTGCACAACCTGCATTGCTTCATATCGTCTTACTTTATTTCATATATCTCCTATTTAGAATAAGAGTTCTAAAATGGAAATTGAAAAATTCATTCTATGCATCGTTACCAATCCTAATTTTGAATGTACTACAACTGCAATGTCAATCCAGTGGCATATATTTTTTGAATAATTTAAAAATAAATCCGTCTTTTGTTATTGCATTGATTGAATGAAATAATTCTTCGCTTTTTACAAATGCGTGTCATAAATAAATCTGATCAGTGGGTCAATTCCTGTTCTACGAAGGTTTGAAATGAACATTTTTGCAAAAGAAAATAAATATCAAATTAAAATATTTTTCGTTCCATTTTTTCATAAAACAAAAAACGAGCCCCAGGTCCATTTATCGGTAAAAGTTAAAAGATAATTTATCTATCCGCGATCTATTTCAATAGGTTACTGAATGTCAGAAATTTTCTGACCCTAAACGATATTATAGTTTTTGCAAATTTTAATGTTTAAATTCCACATCATAATGTAGCATAATTTTGCCCCGGGTAACAATCCAAGCCAAACATCCTATCGTATTTACGACTTCGGTTTGTTCAGGCCATAAATATTATCATATTTTTACCGTAGAACCTCAAATGTTGGCTGTTGTCGATGAAAAAATTACATATCATATGAGATTTCTTTATATAATTACGCAATGACTATGTACATATTTTTATTGTTATGTGTGCCAACCCCAAGGTATCTTATTTTATCTTCAATACAACCCTTTTTTATCGAGCATTTTTCGCACGTTTTTGTACCCTCCACCTTACACACCATGACAGAAGAATATAGTCTATATATATAAATGTAAGTTGTGTTAGTTCCTACGCTTATAACTTAAGAACCGCTAGACTGACTTTAACGATTCACACAAATTCGGAATTGTCTCCTCTCCGAAAAGGATAATATCAAAAAAAAAAAAAAAAAAAAAATCGCGTAAAAATGTGATATATTAAAATTTTCATTTTGACTTTTCAAATGTACAATAGTAATGTTTTATTTTGCATGATTTGGACTTACTTTTTTCTAATGTACATTTGTTGTGTTTTTATATTTTATTTTTGAATTCGAATATTAATACCAATTTATTTAATTGACTTGATTTCTTGAGAACTGAAATTGATGGCGGGTTACATGGAAGTGTAGTACCGAATTATGTGGTGGCGAAACGGAATAGATGTTATCGAAATAATTTAACGCGGTCACACCAAAGTTAAAAGATAATTACTTTTTCAAAATCGCTAAAAAATCATGAACAAGAGATCTCATTGCATTGCTGTAAAAAATCAGCGAACAAGTTAAAGATTTTTTCAATTTTTTATTCTTTTTTTTGTCAATTTGTATTATCATATTGAATTCATTGGATTTTTTGTGAATAAAATAAAGAATAATATTTCACCATATACAATTAAAAAAAAATGAAATAAGTGCGAAATAGGATGTTAACTGACATCAACCCTTCAACTCCAGGGCCTACATAATGGTTCAGCTGGGACTTTTAGAAAGAAAAGGTTTTATATCCTTCCAGAAATTCTTCCCAAACATTCAAAATACCTTACATCGCTTTTGCAGGTCTTTATATCGATCATAACTCACGGTTAAGGGAACAACCCGATTTCATTTTTATATAACCATCTTTGATTGAAGCTATTTTTGGGGTCTTGGCCACTTTTTTCATTTTTTGGCCCTTATTTGGCATTTTTGTTTCTAAGGGGGTAGAGAACCTCTTCGCATACAATTTGAAATTTTCAGAGTATGGCCCATATTGGTCTTGACCATATTCATCAATTGATTTGATTTATTTATGCCACCCTGGGGTAGGGAACCATCATACAGATAATTGCCACATAGGAATTTATTTAAGCAAAGTCCCCACATTGGAGTATCCCCAAGTCAACTTTCACATCTAATGTGTGGTCAGAAAAGAAAATTTTGTTTTCTATTGAATTTGTAACCCCCAAGAGAATATTGGTACATATATATGAAATAAATTCTGGAAACATGAACAAATTACAAATATAAGAAAGTAGCACGGGACCGAATATTTCTTGAATCATCATTGAATTATACTATGATGAAAATATGGACTTTAAGGGGTCTCCAACTTACAATTTAAATGGCAAATAAAATTAATTCCCATCTTATCATTCTGCCCGAATTATGAGGTGGATAAAACTATTTTTAATTATTTAAATCACGCGGAATGCTATGACATGCTATATTTTTGATTTGGCCTCTATTTGTCATCTTGGATTATAAGGGGTAGAAGAAAGTTTTCAATGTAGGTCGATGTTTCGGAGTAGTGCCCATATAAAGAAGGTACCTCCTAATTTTACCATATTTCAAAAAATTTGGCTAATAATGTATATAAGGGGGTGAAAATCTAAGTGCTAATGGGTTTAAAAAAGTAATTATTTTTGGCTATTCTTAAATCATTCAGCCCTCAATTATATAGTATACAAAATACAGTAAATTCCAAAATACTGCTCATTTGACTGGAAGATTTTGCTACGATTTTAACCATATTAAAAATTAATTTGATCCCTTACATGGGGATAAGATTGATATATACTTTTTAATAGATTTGTATAGCACATCCACACAGTTGAAGCCCGCGGTTTAAATATTGAAGCCCACGGCTTTAAAAATTGGTACAGGTATTTTAAAACACTTTTAATCGACCTGTTCGTGAACACTTATATCAGTCATGTGAATAATTATGCTTGGACAAATGCATAATAGACAAAAACTACGGGCCGGCAACGCGGACCGGGCCAGCTAGTTTTACATAATTTTAAAATATTTTCTGAAAAATAAGTAGATTTTTAAATGTTGTCTTATACGATGCAAATCGGAGGTTGTTATAATATACATTTTTCAACAATCTTTTACAAATTTCAATAATTTTTCACTCAACATTTTCAATTCCAAAATCAGTTTGACAGTTCATTATGCCAGCAGCTGTGTCGATGCGACTATCTGTATTTTTCTACCATGATACACTCTAGATCTTTAAAGTCCAGTGGGTTAATCTTCAATAGTATAACCGCGCTATTATGGTACTTTAGCATTGAGATTTGTTGAATAATCTAGCAAAGCAAACGGATTAGAGTTGTTTTAATACCTACACCATATGGAGGGTATATTAAGTTCGTTATTCCGGTGTAATTCATCGAAATATTAATTTTAGACCTAACAAAGTATACATTTTTGATCAGCGTAAAATTCTAAGACGATTTAGCCATCTCCGTCCGTCTGTTTTAATCACGATAGAGTCAAAACCAATTAAGGTTGAGTTCGAATATGGGCTACGTCGGTGCACGATATCCTATAGCCCACCTATAACGGTACCCCCCGATATTCGGTATTTTAGCCACATTTTTTTTATGGAATTGTCTGAAATTCTATACAAGGAGTTGTTTGTGAGAACTTAACCCATGAAAGAAAATTTTCTATATAGGTCTTCGATATCGTATATCCCCCATATAATGTTACCGCCTTATATTCGGTATTTTGAGGATTTTAGCCATATTTTTCTATGGAATTTCCTGAAAATCCACACAAGGAGTTTTTTTCTGAGTACTTCACCCTCTGGAAAAGAATTGTCTATATAGGTCCACGATATCGTAAAGAAATTAGCGACATTTTTTACTACAGCCAATAACAAGAAATTGAGTATGCAGGGCCACATCTTCGTATATAACGATACCTTTTGATACTCGTTATTTTTATGATTTTAAGAACATTTTTGACCTGAATGGTTTCAAATTTCGTGTATAAAGCTCGTAATGGGTACTACATGGGTACAATGGGTACACGTCTTCATATACCCCCCATATAACAACACCTCCCTTTTTTTGATACTTTGATGATATTAGGGGCATTAGAGGTTGATATCAGATAAATTAATTAACCGGACTTTTTTCAAATTTCGTATCTAAAGTTCGTAATGGGTACTACAGCCTATACCCGTATAGCCCACATATAACGGTTTTCATTTGAGGGGTATTTTTCGACGGATACTTTTTTTTATTTTTTTTAAGTTCCTTCCCATTGGTGGAGGGTATTAAAAGTTCGCCCCGCCTGAACTTAGCTGCTCTTTTACTTGTCCTTTTTTTTTTTCAAATTCTGAAACTAGTTTGTATTTTTTATTGAATAATGTTCGCATCATATTTACCTTTACAGGGTCAACGCTCAAATGGACGCTAACACGACGTTCCCCTGGGATGAAACCAACAAGACCGAAGATGAAAAGCTAACCGCTTGGATGGTATCTGACAGCGCCAAACTTAAGTATTCGAATAACGTTTAGGACTTCATTGCGTTCTGCCATGTGGCAGCCAACCTGAAGCCAGGATCCGGCTGGTGGACATCATCTTGGTACCTGAGAGTTTGAAACCGCCCATACAAAGTCACAACATTGTCAATGTCCAATAGCTCAACAAACGATGCCTATCGTCCCCGGCGCAGATAATCTGCGCCATCCTTTGGAGCGGGCCCACCCATTGCGAAGTGGACATTCTACTAATAGTCAAATAAGTATTGCTGTGATACATTTAAGTTAGAACATATGAAACCATTTATGTTGTATGTATGTGTGTGTACATTTATTGTAAGACAGACGCTGAGCCGAGAGAAGGAGATAACAAAAAGAGAGAAAGAGAGTGTGCGCTCAAATGAAAACGCAACCATTATTTATGAGTATAGTTAGTATATGGAGATGTAAATAAAGATTTTATTGTTAATGTTCGAAAGTACGAATTATTCCGATTATCTATGGATGTTGTGATAGAGTTGCAATCGTGTGTGAGCGTGTGTGTGTGAATGTAGGTGTAATATGGTCAGCTAGTTTAGCGACGATGGGCAGGTGCTGGCCACTCTTCGACCACGGGTGCAGCAGCGTGAACACCCACCAATTCCCGACGAACCTGGGCCGAGAAGCCCAACAATGGGTCAGAGCTATAGTCCACAATGCGACGTTGGCCATCGGGCTCGACAAGCGAATAGCGACCAGTTACATACTCTCCACGGCGATGTTCGAATTGATCCTTTATATCACCGGTGTGGGCATCGTGCACAGCGTATTGGAACTCGTAGTGGGGTGGGCTGTCGGCATTTATTTCAATAGTGGGATGACCGATAAGACCAGCGCTAACTACTGCCAAGCACACAGCCAATACGAATGAAATGCACTGGAATGAAGTAGGGAAAAGAAGGATTCTATGAGTCTAAGAGCGATTAACCGTTAGTTGGATGAATATTTTGCTTACAATCAGTTTCATTGTTACTCTTTGGAGGAGACAGGAGCTGGAGAATTGATAATCGTTGTTGGTGAAACGAATGCAAGACGTAGAATGTCATTTGGTGGCCATTGGATGGGCTTATATACCACTTGCTCCACCCATTCAACCAGTGCCAAAAACGCCAGCCAGTCAACGTTGAAGACGTTCGTTCGTCAGTTCATTCATCTCTTTGGTGTGGCTAAATTATGCAATTGTCACAATTTTAACTGACTTCAAAGAGGAAATGATATCCAATATCGAAAGATCTATTTCGGTTACAAATTGTGCCCGTAGCCAGACGCAGATGTTGTTAGATTGTCTAACTTGTGATCGCTATCCCCGCCGTCGCGTAGTGCTTTGGATGCCACAAATATACATACATAGGCATATGTTACAGATTATGATGCCACATCGGCCCTTCACACATTATGTTACATGCATACATACATATATTTCTTGCATCAATTGTCTAGTGACTCACTTTTGAACACCGTTAAGCACTTCTCAAATTTCCATGATGACATGTTGCGGTGTGACATTTATCCACTGACACATTGACGAAAAGCATCTGCATGTAACGGACGGTGACAAAGTGTGACATATAGTTACACATATGCATGTACATATGCGTAGGTACACGCATGCGTAGGTGTAAATGCAATCCTTATTTGAAGTCAACACTGCAGCCAGTTGCCGATAAAGACGATTTATATGTATCTCTGTATGACCGTTTGGGCGACTAAGGTCATGGCGCAACCACAAAACCACAAACATATGTCTGTAATTCGTAATTCCTAAAACTGGATCCCAAAACAAACATTTTACTTTCAGTTTTTATAAAAATTAAAACAGGATCTGAATCAATTATAATTGACGGCAATGATTATTCATTTCATTCATCATCAAGTTATGGGCTTAAAAATGTAATAAATGTGTGTTGTCGTCAGGACTTTTGGGCTATATAGGTCCACGTTTAGGTTAAGTACCCCCCATATAACTGTGCTTTCCTATATTCCGTATTTTGATGACTTAAGATAGATTATTCATGGGAATTGTTTCAAATTTCGTATTTGAAGTTCCTAATGGGAACTTCAATCTATGACAGAAAATTGTCTACGCAGGTACAGGTCTTCGTTTAGGCCCCATATAACGGTACCTCCCGATATTCGATATTTTCCTGATGTCAGCGACATTGTTCATGCAGGTCCACGTCTTCGTTTAGCCCCCATATAACATCACATCCCAATATTCGGTATTTTGCTGATTTTAGCGACATTATTAACCCGAATCGTTTTAAATTTCGTATGTGAAGTTCCTAATGTGTACTACAGTCTATGACATAAAATCGTCTTCGTATAGCCCCCAAAATGTCGTTACGTCCTTATATTCGATATGTTGATTTCCGCAATTGTTTTAAATTCGTATTTTAACTTCGTAATGAGTAATACGGACTGTGACAGAAAATTGCCTATGCAGATCCATGTCTTCGAATATACCCTAAAATAACGGTAACTTCCTATATTCGGTATTTTCAAGACGTTAATTTAAAATTTCTCTTATTTTTTAATTTTTGCAAGGTCAACATTTTTTATCATTTGCTGTTTGCTACATTTCCTGTCAGCATATTTTGAATTTGCCTCACAACTACAACAGATATTAAAATTTTGTTGCATTTATTTCAAAAATGACCGGAAAAGATTTTCTAAACATAAGTATTTGAAAAATAAAAAAATAATCAAGACCAGTCGAGACCTAAGGAACAAAAGATACTCAAAGGAAGAAATGTCAAACCTATGCGCTTTTGTCTCGCTGTACCAACAATTGGTTGAAAATAAATTGATTGCCGAAAAGAATGCTTCATTCAAACATCTTTCAAATCCCTCCTATCTGGACCATATAAATGATTATAATGTTTATGTGGGTAAAAAGTAATTCCTATTATTATAGACCCTCAACTTTTATCCTCGCACATTTTAAATGAATTTGGTATCAGTCTACTATTGGTTGTCGTAGTGTCGTAGTGGGTTTTTGTTTATAGTGGCAAATTACACAACTTTGGTGAAGACTAATACTTGCAAACAGTCAGAAGGTCTGGTGGGGAACGCCATCTCCTTTACCTAAGAGAATTCCTATTAAATTGTGATCGCTGGTAGTTTCATCGGCGATTTTGACGATTTGTTATAAAAACATTCAATAGGTTTTGCCGAAGTTGAATATTTGAAGGACAATTTCACCGATTCTGCTGAAATCTGTGAGTATGGCGAAGGTAATTTAAGAAACTGCCTTGATCAAACCGATTTTAGGGCTGATGATCGTAGACCTGCTGTTATTAAGACAAAGAATGTCAAAAATAAATAGAAATTGTTTTTTTTTTTTAATTTTCTTTATCTAGAATTGGGCAGTAGAAAGCGCATTGACATATTGCATTGAATGGAGTACATCTGTTTATACTCCATGCGTTATAAACTTAAATATTATGATGTTATGATGTAACTGATAATGTTATGATGTAACTGGAGACAGATTTAAAGTCTTTACTAACACACAGTCTCAGAATTATAATGGTGTATTTAGGGCATGTGCTATGGAAAATTTATCGCTGTAAGTCTTTGGATCACCGCATTCGATTGTAATTTATTTTGTCTACTACTTTTTTTTTTTGCATTGCTGTAAACATATGGTAATAAGAAACAGGAAGCGAAGGAGTTTTTGAGATCAAAATATGATATTTTCGATAAATTTATATTGTTTTTGTGTCTTAAAATATGTGCGTAAAATATATTATGAATCCCATGTTTTTTTCCTAATCTTCGGATTTAGAGGATAAGTGAATGTGGCATTATTAAGGAAAAATAATTGTGCCCAAGCAGTCCTTTACCATTGCCTGAAGTAGAGGAAGTGATTCTACATCCATAGATTTTAAAAGTCTGGATGCTCCAATATAAATTGAGTCAATACCTCTTTCTTATTTGCATTGACTTTGTTGCAGTTTTTTTGAAGTGGTTACTGGGCATTCCTTTCTTTGATTCGTTTCCCTAAATGCAAGTAATATTATATTTTCTTTAATGTATTTTGCCCAAATATAATAATATTTACATCTCAACAACTTCCTGCTTACCGTTTTCGGCGTAAAAATCACTACATACTTTGTTTTCGACAACATGCTACCTATCGTGTACAACTTCGAGTAGAAACAATTCGATAACGACTGCGGTGATCCGCGTAAACTGCATTACGATGCCGAAGTACTCGATTTCGAATACGGTGATTTGGCACCTGGTCAACCTTATAATTGGGCCATGATTCTGTCCAGTATAAACGTCAGGTAAGAACATTACAAAATATTTAATTCCGATGGAAATGTGAAAAATGCAACTCTGTAGTATTGTCTCAAGGCGTGCTTATGTTGTTAAAAGTAATGAAACGTTTAGATAAAAAATTATCCGGATTTTTAGATAATTATCAGGTTTTTTAGCTTAATGACTGGTTACAGCATTACTGCGGTACACTCCAAATTAGCAAATGTTTCCGCATTCATTCGAACACAAACAAAGGTTTTTTGATAATTCATTTTGGACATATTTTACATTCTCTTTTGATTGTGTATGTATACGTAAACAAACATCGGCATTTATATCCTCCAAAGGGTGTAGCCATGGTAGAAGAATATAGGTAAAAGCGTCGACACAGCTGCTGGGACAATGGGACAATGAACTGTCAAACCAATTTAGGAATCGAAAATGTTGAATTAGAAATTATTTAAATTTGTACAATTTTTTGAAAAACGCGAATTTTAATAGCCTCCGACTGACGTAGTATAAGGAAACATATAAAAATCTACTTATATTTGAAAAAACATTTAATTTTTTTGACATATTAATGCTCTTTGGCGTTGATGCATCAACCTGTATTCTTCTGTCATGGGTGTATCTAAACACACAAAATTAACCCACTGGATACTACATTGACCGATTTTTTCTTTATGATATCTGAAACTGCGAAAATGATGGATTCTTGCATGGCAGAAAGGCTACGATTTTGTTTCTGAGTGCTCGATTTCTGCCTATTTTGTGTATGTATTTATAGTTTTGAACATGGCAAAACAATAGAGGTAGACTCATTTGCTGAATTTCTCTCTTTTGCAATGTAAGTTCTTGCACCTTTTGGAATTTTATAGGCTTTTCCCCGAGCTAATTTTTCAATATTTGCCGAATGGAATATTGCGATATGTTCAGCTCATGAGCCATTTTTCGGCCACTGCGACGCGGGTTTTCGAACCATTTCTGCTGATGTTGCTCTTTTCTTCCGTCCACTTCCTTGACGTCGGGCTACGCTACTAGTATCACGGTAAGGAGCGATGGTACGAGACACATTTAAATGCTGGAATGCTCTAACTATGGCCACATGTGGCTTTCCAGCCAAATATAAAGAAATCACACTATCACGCTTGGATTCCATCACGAATAACTTTTTTTCTGGAAAATTTTTACCAAAATGCTTTTGTACGTTTGTAAACAATATAGTGAGCTGTCACTGGAATAATTCTAACAGCTATCGGACGAGTGACATAGAATTGACAGCAGTCTGAATTTGGTTGCAGTTTTTACATTTCACACTGTATTGCCCAGAACACTTAAAGAAGGGCCAACTTTCTTGTGTAGTTTAAAGTTTTGTGTTTTATCCAGTCATCCCGTGGGGGATTACCCGCTATTTTCAACCGTGCAACTTGTTCTTCCTTTTCTATGAATCTACGTGTGGAAATAGCCTTTTGAGACTATGCCCGCTTCCTGTCAGAATTATTCAAAATTATAGGCAACAAGTGGTTTTCATTTATTTGATATTTTTTGCTCATTTCTAAAATGATTCAAATAGCGCGAAAGATTAATGAAATGCGTGGATGTTCTCTCAAGAATATGTTCCTAAGTGTTCAATCTATCAATTCCAAAAACAAAAAAAAAAAAAAAAATTGGAATCAGCTGGGTGCTCTATCTAAACATTTTATTGTACCATGAAACTCACCTATACAAATCAAGGTATATTTAAAAATGTGTAAATGAAA